TGTCCTAGCCTGAAGAGTCCAAGTCTTGTACCTAATATGTCCTTAGTTAAGATTATAACTATAACTGTTATTTCTTCAATACCATCAAAGACCTGAAAAGGAAAATAATATTACTGAGTAAGGTGAAAGTGCAAGCAAATGCCTTCTGAAAGATGCAAGAAATGACAGAAACAGCTGGTTGACTAGACATTCACCCAATGTTTCTCTACACCATTTGGGGCATCCAGCTTTAGCTATAGGCCTAGAATACATGACGGACTATTTTCAGAAGCAGAAAAATTTGAATGACTGTCCTACCCTGTCTTGGCAAGCTTCAGCAGTCATTTTTCCTTGTATCCTGCTTGTCCATACTGGACAGTGTGCTTACTGTCAGAAGTCTAGGCAAGGGCAGTTCTTTGTCCAGTAAACTAGTTTTGCCAAGAAGAAAACAAGCTCCATATAAAGTGTCTTCACTGCCCATCATCCTCTTGGAAATAGATCAGTGCTGTCAAGAGCAGTCGTGTCTCAAGTCAACAGAATTCTAAGTTATTACGACATGGAAATGCCATATTCCATAGGTCTTTAAGTGTTTCATCTCCATCCATCCACCACAGACACTTAGGTAGTATTGTAATTGGTGCTGAAATGAACATGAGAGCCTAGTGGCTTTTCAAGATTCTGATTTTGTTTTTAGACTTATGCTCAGAGATGGAATTGACTAGTCTAGTTTTAATTGTTTATAGAAACGTTCATTGTATTCGCCAAGATTCACAGTGGGAGAATGGTTTGTTTCTTCAATAAATAGTGTTAGAGAAAACACCTAATCCTCTACAGGAGAATAAAATCAGGACCTTAACTCAAGCCATTCACAAAAATCAACTAAAAATGGATTAAAAACTTAAGTGTAAGACCTGACACCATAAGCCTACAAAAGGAAAGCAAGTGGAATGTTTTTTGACACCAGTTTGGGCAACGATTGTTTGACTATGACACAGAAAGCACAAGCCACAAAAGTGAAAACAGAGGCAATTAGGTTTGCATTGAGCTTAAAAGCTTCTGCACAGTAGGAAATCCTCAACTAAATGGAGACACTCCACAGATTGGAAGGAAGTGTTTGCAAGTCATACATCTCATAAGGAATCACCACCTCAATTCGGTTAAGAACTTAAGCAACACAATAGTTAAATGGCCAAAGGATTTCAATAAACATTTCTCAAAAAAAAAAAAAGACTTCAGAAAATGCACAGTTTTAAACCAAGTTGTCAACATCACTAGCCATTAAACCAATGCACAGGAAAACGACAATGAGATGTCAGCACACCTGTTTCCAAAGAGACAAGACATAACAAGTACTAGCTAGGGCTCATGTTGATCATGAACATTTTGATCCATTATTGGTAAGAATGGAAACTTGACAAATTTTCTTTTGCTTTCTTCTTTAGCTTCTTCATTCATTCTGCAAACTACAAATATCTCCATTATCTTAAACCTCCCTCTCCCTGAGTCAGCAAATTGCTTTCCCTCCAGATCTAGAGAAAACATATACTGCCAATGGAAACAACCTGCAGTTGTTTGAAAACCTGCCTATTCCTTTTCTTTTCTTCCTATCACAGGGAAAGGTGTCAGAATCCCAACACTAATGCCTCTGTCAGTGCTGTGATACCAACCACACTGCCTTTTCTGCCTCCCCCTGCTGCTGATCCTGTCTCTGTTTTTCCTGTTAGCTTTATTTTCATTTGTTATACCCTTCATCCAAGGGAAATTCAAATGTGCAGAGAGTTCAACTATCACAAAATTAAAATGGTCCCATCTCTCCTTGGATGTTTTGCACATTTCTTAAGCGACTAAGCATGTTCTCCACAGGAGCAGACTGTTATTTTCTATGCCTGCTTTCTCACTTCCTGCTCTTAAGCCCACATTTATCCAGGTAGCCACCTTCAGTTTATTAATGCAGCTTTAGCTGGGAGGAATAATGTCCTCCGGTTTGCTAAATCTTATAGCCCCTGCGCATCTGATCCTAGTTAATATCTATGGAGCTGCAGCTTGCAACACAGTTGTAAAAACCCCTCTTCCGTGGAGCTCTGCTTTCCCCAGATAAAAGCAGTGCCACCATCTTTGGCAGCTCCAGCTAGTTATTACTGAGAGAGCAGACCTCTTCTGTTTACTGATGAAAAGATACTGTTTTAACCTTTTCTCTTTCCGAGTATAAATTTCCCCCTAAACAATGTTATTTACTTCCACAATCTCATTTACCATTTCTGGGCTACTCTCTTCTTGGATTTCAGGGAAGTATACACAGTTATAAGATAATTTAGCCCACAAATAGATCACTTGTAATTTGTAGGGAAATAACCAAGAGTTTCTCCCACAAACGTGTTCCCCTTCTGTGTTTCCTCTCCCTGTGAAGAGCTACAAATTTTGACTTGTAAATCTCTTCACTGTTTCCCATCTGAGCAAGACGCAGCAAAAATCTTATAAAGCTCCTGTTTCTCAACACAGAAAACCATGCAGAATTTCTTCTAGTTGATCGGGCTAAAACCGTGACACTTCCATCACCCTGTGTCACTCGCTGCCCATCTAAATGCCATTGCCTTCTTGTGTGGTCACTCCAGCAGCCTCCTGAATGACCATACTGCTGTCTGTCTACCTTCACTTCACATCCACACTCAACCTAGTGACCTTTCAAAAGCATGTATCCAATTACATCAGCCTCTTGTTAGAAGTCTCTCACAGCTGATCGCTGGTCCCTGAATACTGTCAAAAGTCACTGAAGGGGTAAAAAGAACTGGAAAATTTAGACAGACAAAGGATTTTCCATTTGCAATCCTGTAGGCTGATTTTAAGAAATATTTAAAGACATAAAACTTGGAACTATTTTATTTTTCCCAAAATAAGAATATTAAATATTTGCATTGAACTCTTACTAATAAAGCATGATAGTCCTATTATTTTTGCTCATGACTTTGAAATTACAAGTCTTAGAATAAGAATTGTTTTCCCCAGTTTATTAATAAGAAAACAGAAAATGAAAATAAGGGTACATGAATAACCAAGCCCCATTATCCCATAAGTTACAGATTGGTACTCAAACTCACTCAAAACTAAATCATTCAATAAACTGAAATTAAGAGATTGAAGTTGAAATAAGAAGAGTTTCGTGTTAAATTTAGTAAGTGGGGAAAAAAACACATGGAAGAAGATAGATGGAGAGATGATTGATAGATAGATAGATAGATAGATAGATAGATAGATGATAGATAGATAGATGATAGATAGATAGATAGATAGATAGATAGATAGATAGATAGATAGATGATAGATAGATAGATAGATGATAGATAGATAGATGATAGATAGATAGATAGATAGATGATAGATAGATAGATAGATGATAGATAGATAGATAGATAGATAGATAGATAGATAGATAGATGATAGATAGATAGATAGATAGATAGATAGATAGATGATAGATAGATAGATGATAGATAGATAGATAGATAGATAGATAGATAGATAGATAGATGATAGATAGATAGATAGATAGATAGATGATAGATAGATAGATAGATAGATGATAGATAGATAGATAGATGATAGATAGATAGATAGATAGATAGATAGATAGATGATAGATAGATAGATAGATAGATAGATAGATAGATAGATAGATGATAGATAGATAGATGATTGATAGATAGATAGATAGATGATAGATAGATAGATAGATAGATAGATAGATAGATGATAGATAGATAGATAGATAGATAGATGATAGATAGATAGATAGATAGATAGATAGATAGATAGATAGATAGATGATAGGTAGATAGATGATAGATAGATAGATAGATAGATAGATAGATAGATAGATAGATGATAGATAGATAGATAGATAGATGATAGATAGATAGATAGATAGATAGATAGATAGATGATAGATAGATAGATGATAGATAGATAGATAGATAGATAGATAGATAGATAGATAGATAGATAGAATTTCCATGCAGGTATTTCAGTGTATTAAATAACTTTAAACTAGGTATTTTATATTTAGAGAAAATTTTATTCTCTAAAAGAATACTACTATTATATTGTTAAAAACTAGATATAATATTAAATTTGTTGTGTATAAATGAACCCAGATAATACAGGGATTTAGCTAATTACAATTATATCTTATTTATATCAGTACTTGACTTGACTTAAAAAAAATAAACACTCCCACTGTAAAGTGATGTAATTACCACTAAATAAAAAGTGAAGGGTAACTGAAGGCAGTTGAATAGAAAATGAGGTGGAGTCGGCATTGCCATCAGAAGATTTGGGCACTCAACCACAACTCCACATGGGGAACTCAGCCAAGAACAAAATGAATGCCTACTGCCAGTACGAACTGACAGGTGGAGTCATGGGAGCCAGTGTGAATAAAAGACAGAGAACAGAGCCAATTCAGGTCAACCAGGTCTAATGAAAGCCAGATAAATGAGGAGATAGATGCCCACCAAGCAGAAACGCCTGTCTAGATAAGGGCTACTGAAAGAGTCAACCAAAATTAAGGAGGAACAAAAGCTGCTCTCGGAGGCCAGCCCTCACAGTGACTGCATTGCAAATGCCCTCCGTGAAAGAGCCTTTTCCGAGCTTAGAAAATCCAAATGAAACTTATTCACAATATTCAGAGACAAAAGCAACTCTGGAATTCAATTTGATTTAAGAGGAAATCACTTTATACTTCACCGGTTTCTGATTTTAATGAAATTTTTGAGCAGAAATAGTCAGGATGAGAATTACTTCCTTTCTCCCAATTATTAAATAAAATATACAAATACAAACAAAAATAGTAATAAAAGTCGAAGGCAAGAAAGCACGGTGGAGAAAGGACAGCATTAGGACTGTGTGGCCATCGGGAACCCATCTTCCATTGCAGAAAAGTACAATCAGCACTGCCCAATTTTGGAAACACATAATGCCTAACTAAAAAAAATAAACAACCACAGCTAAAAAATGAATTAGAACAGATACTAACCTGCCAGGGGAGATGACATCATCAGGAAGGTAGTTTTTCCAGGGCAGGGCTTGTCAGCTGTTCTATGAATGTGTTGACCCCTGCAATGTCCCCAAGAGTGGGAAATGCCACTCCATAATCTGTGACAGTGAGCAGCTGAGGTCACAGCTTCCTCTGAGGGAAAAGTTCAGAACAAACACCAGGAACACTTTGCCTGAGACTAACCAAAGACAATTAGGGTCTTTCTGGGTGGTTCCAGGTAAACAAATTGCCATATACCACGAAGTCTAGCTATCTCAAGTTCGAATACATTACTTAGACTGATCTCAGAGATAAGTTGTTAAATTCAGCTTTCAAATCCTCTTGGCAGTCTAACTTCCCTTGTGGATATATGATAAAAATAATAATAATACTGTTTTCATTTCCAATCATTTAAGTTTTTCTAGGCAGACCACACTAGCCCAGGCTTCTAAGTATGCTTTGGGTAAAGTATGAGGAAGGAGCCACTGTGGGACAGTGTTGAGGGAGGTATTGTAAACAGGGCTGTACACTTGGTCCAATTTATCATACAACCAATTGTTAAATCATCTACATTTCAAAGCCTCCTAGCTTTGACCCATCAATTCAGTCTCTTGGAGATTTATTTAATGCATATCCTTGATAAATGTTCATGTGGACATTTGAGGCAGCATTATTTATAGTCACAGAAAATAAAAAAATTACACAACAACAAAGACAAAAATAAGTTTTGACCAATTCATACAATAGAATTATAGACAGTCATGGAAAAGACTGAGCTAGAGCTGTGTTCATTACTAAGAAAACCTTCCAATCAAACTGAATTTAAAGTCAGTGTTCTATCCTGTGATAGTTCCTTTCACAAGTAATTTTAGATCATATCTTCCTGTTGATACATAAGGATATCTTCATATGCATAAGTTCATGCATACAATGTTTTATATAGCAAGAAGAATTTTAAAGTGCTAAACTCCAGGTGTGGATCAGAACGTGAGCAGGAGAGAGTTGCTTTAATTTTCCTTGCACATCCACCTTACCACACACCCATTCTAACTATAAACATTACACAACAGGTTCCACAGTTTCTGTGGAACTTATCATCACAGGTGAGACTTGAGGCCACTTCAATTTGCTTTGTTTAACTTCTTGATAAAAGTTGTTTCTTTAAAGCCGTAGAGACTGTTAAGTATGGGAGGGTCAAGTTAGCCATGGTTGGGAATCCTTTCTCTGCCTGTCCCAAGCATAAACAACTGCTTATAATTGACCCATATAATATTCACAGCAATGGCCCACGTGATCTTATACTCTTCTTACCCTCCAGAGAAAGCAGGTTCAATGAGGCACTAGTGTTTAATTGAGTACAATTTTAAAAAGCTGGATCAGGCCTCACTAGACATACAAGTGCAATATACTTAGTACCATAAAGTTGGCTAATAACACACATCCATAAGGTAAGAACACCTCTTTTTAGCAGGGTATTAAGAGAGCCAGAATCCAATTTGTGAAAAGACTCCTGTATACTCTCATTGGTGAGCAATAATGCATTTCAGTTTCATCCTGACACAAAAATCTCTCAGGTTCCTTTATGTTCTTTTATATAAGTACCATAAAACATTCATAGAAGTGCTCTCCTAGGTCTCGATTCAAATGTGGTTTGATTTGTAGATTTCATTAACAAATATCGAGAATATTTTCATTTGCTGGTATAACAAAGTGGGACAAAGCTGCTAATGCTTGCTTTGTGAAAACTTGCATAATGGTGTATAAAGGCAACTTTGTCTGGGGACCTTGTCAAAATTAGAAATAATCTCGTCTCAGGGATAGGTCAATTTGATTATTTTTAATGCACAATTGATGGATGTTTCTGCACAACAGGAAACAGACAGTAGGCAAAGCAGTACTGTGTTCTGCTCTCATTTCTTCCCCTGGACAAAGCTTCCAAAATTCCAGCTGTGATATGCCTCACATTGCACCTCAGCCCTCTGCTGATCAGAGAAAATTCTGAGCTGTCTAGAACATTGCAGTCCCAACCCCTGAGCTGAAATGGCCTCTTAGCCTTGACAGTGGAGAGTTGGGGAGGCATTCCTACAACCTGAACCTCGTCTGAAAACATTTCTCAGGAGGAAGAGACTTTATCGCATACCCCATAGCCGAGCCAGGAGCAACTGTAATAACAGCCAGAACCCATCTGTTTACTAAGGCAGGTGCAGGGAACAAGCCTTCCTCTTCTAACAGAAATATTAAACAACAAAAAATGCCTACCTTCCCAGAAAACACTTCTCATAATAATGTGTAAACACTGTGTACATGCTGTTTGATATGATTATTGATGTGTCTGGAGAAAAATGAGCTTGATAACTGTTTGGTTGTGAGGCTTGGTTATGAGCAACTGAAACGTGTTCCAACAACACTGCTCTCTGTTTGCTGAATTTAGGCAGGTTTGGCATGAATGAAATTCAATTTGAGTAAGGGTCTCTCAGAGCAACACCAACTGGAACCACTGTGGAATATATCACCGTTGTCCTTAAAAAGAAATTCAGATCCTCAGATGTCACATTGACCTTTAATCCTTCAGCCTCTAGGAGACACTAGCTGTTGGAGGAGCAGCTCGTGAATTAATGACAAATGGCCAGCAGTTCTCTATTCTGAAGCCCCGAGAAATGACAGTGATCAGGAAAGAATGTACATACACCACACAAAATCTTGTCCTGTTATACTATATTATGGCTGGCTAACAGGCATATCACTTATCAGTTATTTATCCAAAAAATATTTAGACGCCATAAGCTGTCTACAGACAAGGTATTTTGTCAATGTTCTGAAAGCTCTTACACAATGTGAAATTTTGCATGCTTTGTGGTACATATTCATAAACATTATTTCTCATGAGATCACATACAGTCACATAGTATAGCATTTAATGTAGAAAAGGAGCCTCATTTGTTGCAAATGTCTATAATCTCAAAACTAGAAATACACAGTAAATTCTGCCCCTGATTCCTGTGACTTTGTAGAGTACTTTATTTATATTGAATTTATAGAGGTATCATAAATATCATGGTTCACATGAGCTACTATATGTGTGTGAATACATACATACCTAATTGAGCTACAAATACAATGTAATACACACACACACACACACCTCTATACACTAGTCTGTTAACTAGACCACTTTTAAAGGTGAGTGTGAACAATTCTAGTGCCAGGCATGGTGGCATCCACTTCCAATTCTAGCTAAGGCGGGTTTGCATGAGTTCAAGGCCAGCCGGGGCTATACAGTGAGATATATGTTTATAAAGGGGGGGGGCAATTCCAGGTACTAACATTTGCCAAGGAGACTTATTACTCTAAATACTGTAGCAAGAAGATACTTGCAGAGTGACTGCTTTCAGAAGGAAAGTCAGGGAAGTGTTGTCTGGAAAAAGTGCCTTTTGCAGCGATACCTGATTGAAGGAAAGGAAGTATTGTTGATTATATCTGGGTGGGAGGTGAGTTCAAGCAGAGGGATACCAGGGTTCTCGTTTTCTGAACTTACGAGTGGAAAGAAACAGTGTATCTGGGGCCAAGTCAAAGGTAAGAGATGGATTTGGAATAAGAAAGGCCTAAGCTTGTAACTTTCACAACTACAACTGTGTGCCTTATACACAAGGCACACCAATATGAACTAGTTTGGAAAGGAGTTGGTTTCACAGAGGTAATAGAGAGCATTGTCTCCTTTCAACCTGTGGGATATCTTTAATACATAGCCTCCAACATCACCTCACAACGTGAAAGGAGACTAGAAAAAACTTCATAGGCCAGAGCTATAGTGCTGGCCACCACATCCAGGTATATCCCTTTGCCCCAATCAAAGTGGGTGTTTGGTTGTTATAGGTCAGAGCGGTTTTCTTTTGTTTTGTTTGGAGGTTTATTATTTTCAGTCTGTTTTTTGGAAATTTTTTTATTTTGTTTTTTGCGGGGTTGGTTTTTGGTTTTTCGAGACAGGGTAACTTTGAAGCCTCTCCTGGAACTAGCTCTTATAGATCAGGCTGGCCTCCAGAGTTGTTTTTCTTATGAGAGGTTAAATAGTCCACTTTACCTAGGTTAAGCCCTCATTTCAATCAAGTAGCTAATTTTCATGATTTACTTTAAAGAAATAAGTCTTTTTTATTTATTAAAAATTTCCACCTCCTCCCATTTCCCTCCTACTTCCTCCACTACCCCTCCCTCTCCCTCTCCAGTCCTAAGAGCAGTCAGGGTTCCCTGCCCTGTGGGAAGTCCAAGGCCCTCCCCCCTCCATCCAGGCCTAGGAAGGTGTGCATCTAAACAGACTAGGATCCCCCAAAAGCCAGTACATGCAGTAGAATCAAATCCCAGTGCCATTATCATTGGCTTCTCAGTCAGCCCCCATTATCAGCCACATTCATAGAGTCCGGTTTGATCACATTCTCGTTCAGTCCCAGTCCAGCTGGCCTTGGTGAGCTCCTATTAGAACAGTCACACCGTCTCCATGGGTGGACGCACCCCTCGCAGTCCCGACTTCCTTGCTCATCTTCTCCCTCCTTCTGCTCTTCATCTGGACCTTGGGAGCTCAGTCCAGTGCTCCAATGGTGGTCTCTATCTCCGTCCATCACCAGATGAAGGTTCTAAGGTGATATTCAAGATATTCATCAGTGTGACTATGGGAGAATGCCAGTTCAGGCACCCTCTCCTCAGCTGCCAAAGGATTTAGCTGGGGACATCCCCTTGTACACGTGGGACACATCTCTTGCCAACCCTAAAATGGCACCCTTAATTAAGATATCTTCTTCCCTGCTCCCATATCCACCCTTCCTCCATCTCAACCATTCCACTCCCCCAAGCTCTCCCCAATCTTCCCCTTCTCCCTTCTCTCTCCCAGTCTCCCCTTCCCCTACTCCACCCCCACCCCATGCTCCCAAATTTTGCCCAGCGATCTTGTCTACTTCCAATTTCCAGGAGGATAAATATATGTTTTTCTTTGGGTTTACCTTATTATTTAGGTTCTCCAGGATCATGAACTATAGGCTCAATGTTCTTTGTTTATGGCTAGAATCCACTAATGAGTGAGTACATACTATATTCATCTTTTTGGGTCTGGGTTATCTCACTGAGTAAAGTGTTTTCTATTTCCATCCATTTGCATGCAAAATTCAA